GGATCTTGGCCTCAGTGTGGAGAAGGGAGGCTCCTCAGCAGGGGAGAGGGCCCGAGTCACAGAGCCACAGACAGAATGGGACCCTGTAACCCATCTCCAAAAGGCCACTGGTACTTCCTTTGATCTCTGTCCTCTGCCTCCCTGATGGTAACGAGAGGAGCCTGAGATATTCCCCATCTTCCCTTCAGGGCCACAAACCGGAGGGAGGTGGAGAGCCGGAGCACAGGCCTCGAGTCTAGTGAGGCGCGTCAGAAATTTGCAGGAGCCAAAGCCATCTCATCTGACATGTTCTTTGGGCGGGAGGTGGATGCAGAGGTAAGTGGGGTTGTCTGCCCTGGGGCCGAGGCAGCGGGCAGAAGCATGAGCTTTCTCCCTGCTGCTGCTTTAGGCTTCATAGCACCAGGCCTGGCCTGTGTGAGTCCTTGGGTTCTCAGCCTCGAGATCCCCAGGCCTGGCCTTTTCCTTACCACAGTATGAGGCTAGGTCTCGGCTGCAGCAGCTCTCAGGCAGCAGTGCCATCAGCTCCTCAGACCTCTTTGGGGACATGGACGGAGCTCACGGAGCAGGTAGGGCCCTGGTGGGGTGGCAGGCACCAAGCGAGGCCTGGGAGCAGGGTGGGAGGGCCCTCCTGTGACTGGAAAGAGCTTCCTGCTGGGCTTGGGGGTCACCCTGCCCTTGCTTTTACAGGAAGTGTATCTCTGGGGAACGTGCTGCCTACAGCGGACATTGCCCAGTTTAAGCAGGGTGTCAAGTCTGTGGCCGGGAAGATGGCTGTGCTAGCCAATGGTGTGATGAATTCCTTGCAGGTGAGGCTGGGGTGGGACCTAATGAGGAGTGCTGGGCAGTTCACCCTTTGCCACCACATGGAGACATTACTACTGCTCAGCCCCTCTCAGCCTTAGAGCATTTTCGGCAGAGGGCAGTGGCTCATGCCTGTAATCCCAGCACCAGGAGGCTGAGATGGGTGGATCACCTGAGGTCAGGAATGCGAGACCAGACTGACAACATGGGGAAATCCCATCTCTACTAAAAATACAAAATTAGCTGGGCATGATGGCGGGCACCTGAAATCGCAGCTACTCGGGAGGCTGAGACAGGAGAATTGCTTGAACCCATAGGTGGAGGTTGCAGTGAGCCAAGATGAGACCACTGCACTCCAGCCTGGGCAACAAGAGTGAAACTCTGTCTCAAAAAAAAAAAAAGTCTAGAGAGAGGCATTTTCTTTTCTTGGAGGGCAGTTTCCTTCCTTTCAGCTTCACGCCAGGGCCAGGCCTCTCCAGGATGCTGCTGCGTCTGGCATGCTCTTCCCCAGCCATGTTACCTGTTCTGCTCTTTCTCTTCCCTTCCCAGCTTCTTTGAGGTCAGGCAGGGCTTCCCCCTTGCTGGGTGCCTGAGTGGCCCCTGCCCCAGCTGTCACTGTGGACTCCCGCCTCAACGGCTGTGCAGCCCCTGCCTCCCCAGACTTGCTGTGGGGTGCGTGCTGGGGCAGGCAGTGTGTTTGCCGGGAAGCTGCTGCAGTTTAGAGCCTCTGACTTTGTTTTGTTCTCTTCCCTCACCCCCAGGATCGCTACGGTTCCTACTGATCCGAGCTCTGTGACTCAGGCGTACGGTGGTGATGGCAGCAAGAACTCCACAGATCCCAGGCTGAGGATGCTTGCCTTGTGAAAGCTGGGGAGGATTTGTTACTTTGTGTGGTGTGTGTGGTGTAGCCTTTGAGGCCACCTGTGAGGGGAATGGTCATTACCAGCCCTTGTCCTCTGCCTGTGGACTGAGCCCCTTATTCACCCCACACACAAACCGTGTGTTCGCCTCGTCCTTCTGTCCTGCCCCCACAGCTGCTGCTCACTTGTCCTGCCACACTGGGAGAGGGGTTCCCCCAGGATGGCTTATTCTGTGTCCAGCCTTTCCACAAGTAGGGAAAACGGAAGGTAGAAGGCTTTTGTGCTGGCTCTAGGGTTCTTCTAGCTCAAGGGCTTGGGCCCCCATCCTCTGGAACTGGGGAGGCCTGGAAAGAGTTCACTGTAGATCCGTCCTCTGGGGAAGGAGGCTGCGGACTTGTTGCCGCTGCCATCAGCAGCCTCTTCTGGGTGCCAGGAGAGGGTGAGGGAGGGGAAGGACTTTTGTCTGGGCTTTACTAAGGGCTGGGAACTTTACCTGGTACCTAAAGGTTTCATTCAGGATCAGACTGGAGGCCTGAGTGGTCTCCCGTCTCACCACCACTTTCTACATTAAGCACTTGGAAGATGATTTCCAGGAGTCTCAGGGTCCTTCTGTACCATCTACTGTGGGCCACAGGACCCTCTGTGACATTGTGTCCCTTCTTCCCCTAGTTGGTGGCCATGGAGGGTCTGGTCTGCTCTGTGTCAACTCTGGATGCTGTGAGCTGATGCTAGCCAGGGAAGCAGACTGTGAGGGGCAGAGGCAGGCTCCCGGGGCGCAGCTCCTTCCGCTGCATCATTCTGGGCTTGGGGGCCTGGACAGCACCTGCCAGTGAGAGCTTGCGGGCCTCACCCTCGGGGAGCTGAGCCATGCACTGTCATTCTTGGTGCCATCTTCTGCTGCGCTGGCGGTCTCGGCCCAGCCCCCACCTTTGGGTTGTAGGTTGGGCTCCCAAGCAACACAGACCACTCTTCCCCCTTGCTCCGCCCCCAGAGGGACATGACTTTCTTTCTGGACTGTTTGTATTGAAACAAAGTGGTGTCAAAATAAAACCCCTGCAGGGCCTGGCTCCCTGTTGGTCTGAGTGAAGCAGTGTCCTCTGGATCCTGCCTCCCTGCACAGGGCTGGCCCTTGGCCTCACTCTCGGGGCTCCCACTGGTAATGGTAGGGCGTCAGTACCAAAGCTGAGGGCATTCTCTCCAGGGCCTCCTGCTTCTCTCTCCTCTGAAAGCCAAAGGCCCCTGGCTCCTTGGCTCTGTGCTGCTGTGAGGTCCAGTGCAGCCTCGACCTCACCACCCTGTGGCACGCAGAGGAAAGAGCTGGCATTAGTTGGCCCTTTAACTCATTGGCTGGGGGCAGACAAGCAACCTCAGCAGCCCTGCCCCTTGTCACAGCAGTAGGCTTGACTGGGGATGGGTTTCAGTGGAGCTGATTTAAGGCTGGGTATGGTGGCTCACGCCTGTCACTCCAACGCTTTGGGAGGTAAGGCAAGTGGATCACTTGAGGCCAGGAATTCAAAACCAGCCTGGCCAACATAGCTAAACCCTGTTTCTACTAAAAGTACAAAAATTAGCCAGGCATGGTGGCACACGCCTGTAATCCCAGCTACTTGGGAGGCTGAAGCATGAGAGTCGGTTGAACCCGGAAGGAGGAGGTTGCAGTGAGCCCAGATCATGCCACTGCACTCCAGCCTGGGTGACAGAGTGAGACTCTCAAAAAAAAAAAAGTATAAGGCCGGGCACAGTGGCTCAAGCCTGTAATCCCAGCACTTTGGGAGGCTGAGGCGGGTGGATCACGAGGTCAGGAGATCGAGACCATCCTGGTCAACATGGTGAAACCCCGTCTCTACTAAAAATACAAAAAGTTAGCTGGGCATGGTGGCATGTGCCTGTGATCCCAGCTACTCAGGAGGCTGAGGCAGGAGAATTGCCTGAACCCAGGAGGCGGAGGTTGCGGTGAGCCGAGATCGCGCCATTGCACTCCAGCCTGGGTAACAAGAGTGAAACTCAGTCTCAAAAAAAAAAAAAAGTATATATGTACATACATAAACACAGACTTTAATGGGACCCTTTAAATTCATGAAGAAAAGATGTATTTGTGTGTAAACACTTAGCTTGGCCACTCCTTTCCCTTGGGGCTTCTGAAACATCTCTGTGCCACCTGAAGAGCCCTTACGGTAGTTACAGACCACTGGGCTGGGAAGTGGATTATTAGAAAGGATGGGTAGAAGGAAACCTATGCCGCAAATCCTAAACCACGGATTTGCAGCGTGTAGGTTTGGGACTCATACAGCTTTGTAATGTGCATTGTCAATAGGTGTCACTGAGTCTGAGGACACCAGGATTTGAGAACCGTCTCTTACGGGCTGTAGATCACTGTGGGCCTAGAGAGCTCATCACACAGCCCGAGCATTTTTTTAAAAGAAAGGGTCTCATTCTGTCATTCAGGCTGGAGTGCAGTGGCATGATCACAGCTCACTGCAGCCTCAACCTCCTGGGCTCAAGTGATCCTCCCACCTCAGCCTCCCAAGTATCTGGGACTACAGGTGCAAGCTACCATGCCTGGATAATTTTTTGTTTTGTAGAGATAGTGTCTCTCTATGTTGCCCAGGGTGGGCTTGAACTCCTGGGCTCAAGCAGTTGGCCCACCTTGGCCTGCCAAAGTGCTGGGATTACAGGCAATGAGCCACCACACCCTGAAGCTTCTTAGGGGCTGGAATGTTCCTTCCTGGCCTCAGCCCTGCAGGGCTTTGGGAGGCAGTTCCTGTAATGATCCATTCTGGGTAGGGATGAGGCCAGGGCAATGGGTATGCCTAGCAGTGGTGACATGCAGCCCTGTTCTGCTTGGGCCTCTGGGTGGGTTTGGCTTTCCGGAGCCACCGCCCCGCCCCCCCCTGCCCCACAGACCTCAATCCAAAGAAGTTGAAGACGACTTGTCCTTACCTACCTCCCATCCTGGCTGGGATATGTCTACCCCAGGCTTGTGTCTCACAGCTGCGTGCCACTGCCCTAACCCCAAGCAGTTGCTTGGCAAGTGTTGACTGAAACTCTGGCTCAGAGGCTATGCAGTATTAACCCTTTGTGGCCACAGTCTTCAAAGTTATGGAAACCTGGCCTTGAACCCTCCGAACTTGTTTCCTAAAGGCTGTTCCAGCTGTGAGCACCTCTTCTATGGAAGGCTGCTCTTGGGAGAAGCTAGACCCCTCTGCCCATTATCTGAGGCAGGTCCCAGGCCTGAGTGGGCCACTGGCCCCTACCTCCTAGTCTTGCCAGAAAAGCACCGGAAATCCAAACTCCCCCTTTCCCTTCTCCCCCGAGTCTGGGAGTTTTAGACTCACCACGTACCAGACATGAGGGACTTTATTCGTTTCACGTTTAGCTATTAGACACAAAGGGGACTTGAAGCAGTTTTTGCAGGTGAAATTGCCTTGCCCACCCTTCTCCGTCCTACCAAGGCTAGTGGCTGTTCTCCAGCAGAAGGCCGCAGCGGCCACGTCCTCCTGGTACTTGTGTCACAGGTGTCACCCTTGATGGTGCAAGGCCCTGCGTGGCTATGTGGGTTCTCCCCTTACTGGAGTGGCTGTGAGGAGATGAACCTTATCAGGGAACCAGCAGAGGATGGCTCAGAAGAGACTGCTCTTCTTAAGAGGTTAGCAGGACTAACAGGCTACGGCTGAGTCCCCTTCCTAGTGAAAAGGTGGCTTCAGCACAGTCTGTCAGCCTGGGGCCTGAGTGGAGTTCACAGGCTGACAGGGCCAGGGAGAGCAGGCGGTTCAGCTTCCGGGCCACTGGCTGGGTTGCTCATCAGAGCCCCTCTGGCAGGTCTTGGGGCTGTTATTCGCCTTGTCAGCAGCAGAAGGCAGCACAGCAAAGTGCTGGAGAGGAGGCTGGGTGGGTGTGCCAAGGGCTGGGTGGGAGCAGGTACAGGGTGCTGCGGGCAGGACCCTTCAGACTCCTCAAGTCTCCGACTCATCTGTCTCTTCGGTGGAGCCATCACTCTCTCCATCCACTTTTCGGGAATGATGGAGGGGTCTCCAGGGGGAGCCAACCCGGGGAGGGGTCCGGGAAGGTAGGCAACTGGTCTCTGGACTGGCTGTGACTGAGTTGACCAGGCCTGGGACCTGGGCCAGCCTGAAGAAGGGAAGAAGCCTGGAGAGTCCTCCTGTCCAGAGAGCAGGACCTCCATGCTCATTCTTAAACTAGGGGAACCCCTGGGCTGCAGCCCCCAAAAGACTCAGAGGGAGGGACATCTCAGGCCTCCACACCCTACCCTGGCCGATGCAGGATGACAGGCAAGTGCTGTTGGCCCCAGATGGGGCACAGCCATGTCCGACCCACCCGGCCCCCACAAGGGGGCAGCATCTTCCCACTTGACACTTACAGCCGTTCCAGCTCCTCGTCCATGGCTGGGTCATGCATCAGATCCCCCTTGTCAGGCAAAGCTCCTAGGAGATCATTGGGAGCACAATAGTTAATCTGATGGCCCCTCAGCTAGGTGACAGATGCCACCAGGCCCCTCACCTTCACGGCTACCTGTCCTGCTGACCCTGGGAGGGCTGATCTGAAGATCTGAGGACTGCTAGAGGGGCCAAAGAACAGTGGCAGAGCAGGAAGGTCCTGGTTGCCGCTGGATACATTTATTGAATCCTAATGCCTACTTTCCCCTCCTGGGGCAGAGACCACAGCCAAGGAGACATCCCCAAACAAACGTGATCCTCTTTTAAGGCAGGTGGTGGTTGTGACCTGGTGCAACAATCAAGGTGACCCCACTTTGGAGACAGATGGTAAAAAAAAAAAAAAAAATGCTGCCTCTGCTCCTCCAAGGTGCATCTCAGGGGCAAGAGAAGGCTGGGTCAGGACCAGAATCACCCACCTGGCATAGGCCGGTTTCCAGTTTGACCAAATCTTTTTCAGATGCCTCCTGGCACCTCTTGCACTAAGTTGTGTTGTTCAAACTACATCCGATGGGACCCTCTCATCTGGAGGGCGCCCTGGGGACTAAGGGAACAGGGCTGACCTTCTCCATGACTGGTCTCAACCAGTGTGTCTCCAGATTTCTATTTCATATGCTGGAGATACAGGTGAGGCCCGAGATCACATGCTTCTTTCTGTCTCCCATTCCACCCAGCCATCCAATGTTAGTGCTCAGTAAAAGTGGCTAAATGAGGCCAGATGCGGCTCATGCCTGAAATCCCAGCACTTTGGGAGGCTGAGGCGGGTGGATCACCTGAGGTCAGGAGTTCAAGACCAGCCTGATCAATATGGAGAAACCCCATATTTAATAAAAAATACAAAAAATTAGCTGGGAGTGGTGGTGGGCGCTTGTAATCCCAGCTACTCCGGAGGCTGAGGCAGGAGAATCACTTGAAACCAGGAGGTGGAGGTTGCAGTGAGCCAAGATCATGCCATTGCACTCCAGCCTGGGTGACAGACAAGAGCAAAACTACATCTAAAAAAAAAAAAAAGTGGTTTAATGAGAGAGAGGGAGAGTGCCTTTTTTTTTTTTTTTTTTTAAAGACAGAGTCTTGCTTTGTCACCCAGGCTGGAGTGTGATTATGGCTCACTTGGCTCACTGCAGCCTCGATCTCCCAGGCCCAAGTAATCGTCCCACCTCAACCTCCTGAGTAGCTGAGACCAGTGGTATGTGCCACCACACCCAGCTAATTTTTCTTAAGAGATGGAGTTCTCCCTATATTGCCCAGGCTGGTTGTGAACTCGGGGGCTCAAGTGATTCTCTTGCCTCACCTTCCCAAAATGCTGGGATTATGGTGGAGCCACCATGTCTGGCTATTAAGTGTCCTATTTATTTATTTATTTTTGAGACAGAGTCTCGTTCTGTTGCCCAGGCTTGAGTGCAGTGGCACAATCTTGGCTCACTGCAACCTCTACCACCTGGGTTCAGGTGATTCTTCCACCTTGGCCTCCCAAGTAGCTGGGACTGTAGCTGCCTGCCACCACGTCAGGCTAATTTTTGTATTTTTAGTAGAGACGGGGCTTCACCATATTGGCCAGGCTGCTCTCAAACTCCTGACCTTGTGATCCACCCACCTCGGCCTCCCAAAGTGCTGGGATTATAGGCATGAGCCTGGCCGTGTCCTTTTTATGTTTGTTTATTTAGAAATGGAGTTTTGCCCTTGTTGCCCAGGCTGGAGTGCGACCTCAGCTCACCACAACCTCTGCCTCCCGGGTTCAAGTGATTCTCCTGCATCAGCCTCCCAAGTAGCTGGGATTACAGACATGCGCCACCATGCCCAGCTAATTCTTTAGTAGAGACAGGGTTTCTCCATGTTGGTCAGGCTGGTCTCAAACTCCCGACCTCAGGTGATCTGCCCACCTTGACCTCCCAAAGTGCTGGGATTACAGGCATGAGCCACTGTGCCTGGCCTGTGTCCTTTTTTGAGATGGAGTTTCACACTGTCACCCAAGCTGGAGTGCAATAGCACAATCTTGGCTCACTGCAACCTCCGCCTCACAGATTCAAGCAATTCTCTTGCCTTAGCCTCCCAAGTAGCTGGTATTACAGGTGCCCACCACCAGGCCCAGCTAATTTTTTGTATTTTTAGTAGAGATGGGGTTTCACTATGTTGGCCAGGCTGGTCTGGAGCTCCTGACCTTGTGATCTGCCCGCCTCAGCCTCCCAAAGTGCTAGGATTACAGGCATGAGCCACCAGGCATGAGCCACCGCGCACGGCTGGCAGTGTCCTTTTTAAAGGCCTTTAGAAAAGGGATGAGGTTAGTCCAGGCTGTGACCCAGTTGCTAATTGGCTTTTCCTTCTTCTTCCTAGTGGCGGCTGTTGGTGGGAAGGAAGGGTGGTCTTAATTCGGAGTATGAAAGAGTGTGGGGGCAGATCCCACCCGCCTCCCTCTTACTCTTGTTTCCGGGCTCTTCTGCCCCCTTTTTTTTTCTTTTATGAGACAGAGCCTTGCTCTGTCATCCAGAGTGGGGTGCAATGGCGTGATCTCCACTCACTGCAACTGCTGCCTCCCAGGCTCAAGCAATTCTCGTGCCTCAGCTCCGGAGTAGCTGGGATTACAGGTGAGTGCCACCACACCCGGCTAATTTTTGTATTTTTAGTAGCAACGGGCTTTCACCATGTTGGCCAGGATAGTCTTGAACTCCTGACCTCAGGTGATCTGCCTGCCTCAGCCTCTCAAAGCACTGGGATTACAGGTGTGAGCGACTGCGCCTGGCCTGTCTTTTGCCTCCTTTCTAGTCCTAGTCCAGCAGGTGACCTCAGCTACCCATCTCAGTTAGTTGAGGGCTCCCCAGACGTGTGTGCCTCAAACACCAACTCAGAATAACGAGGCTGCAAGTGGCATGCAGTTCAGCCTGGTGGGGTTTGTGCTTGTGTATCCCACAGCATCCCCTGATTGACTGTATACTGTGTAAGATAAAAAATATAAAGCATCCAGCACAGTGCTTAGCCTGCTGTGGTTGGCATTTAGTGAATGTTAACTTTCCTTCCCTTGATCCCATTCCCTCAACTGGCAAGAGGAAGGGGGATGCCATGTATCTTCTTTGAGACTCAGGCACCTGGGATCCCAAGCGCAGCAGGAGGAACTCTCGAGACACAAAAAAGTAACCTCTTGCTGGGCGCAATGGCTCCCAACTGTCATCCCAGCACTTTGGGAGGCCAAGGTGAGGGGATCCCTTGAACCCAGGGGTTTGAAACCAGCCTGGGCAACATGGTAAAACCCAGACTCTACAAAAACCCAAAAATTTTCCTGAATGGTTGCGTATGCCTGGAGTCCCAGCTACTAGGTAGGCTGAGGTGGGCGTATCACTTGAGCCCAGAAGGTCAGATTACACCACAGCACTCTAGCCTGGGCAACAAGGTGAGACTGTCTCAAAAACAAAAACAAAACTCCTTAAACTCTAGTAGAATGGAGGCTTGCTGGCGCTTCCCTTAGGATAGCCGTGGCTGTGGGAGGGGGAACAGGAGGGCAGGCAGAGAAGGCTCAGTGAAAAAAACAGCAGGCAGGAAAAACTACCACTGCAAGCTACCCCCATTGTTTTTCCTCCCTTTCAGATTAATCAGATTTCTTTTTTTCAGCTTGGAAAAAAGGTCTCCCGAGACACACCTCTGCCCTGTTTGTAAATGGGATTCAGGTCTCTTTGTTACATAATCTCCAGCACCACTGAGTAAACAGTCCTGTGTCTGCCCTACTGGGCAGGCCGCTCCCCAAAGCAGGGCTGGGGACTCTACGAGGAGGAGCTGGGCGCAGCGCCTTTGCTTTGGGGAGGCAGCTTCATGCTGGGGCAGGGCCACAGGCACGAAGGCTGTCTCTTACCACGGGAATGTGTCAGAGCTGTGTTTTGTCATGCGTGTTCCCGCTCCCTGGGACTGGGTCTGGCCCTGGGAAGTCAAGGCTGAGATGGTGATGCCCCTTCCCCGTGGAGCCATGCAGCCAACAGAGACCAGCTGCTCCGTGTGCTGTGTGGTAGGAGAGGCTGACCGCTGCTGGCTCTGGCTTACCGAGGGCTTGGTTGATTCCATGGTGCTTGGAGAGAGCCATGAGGAATCCGTAGAAGGTCAGTCTCTGGACGTTGCTTAGGACCTCTTTGACAAGGGCTGGGGGTGGGCAGCTAAGAAGGAGAGATGCCAGATTCAGAGACTAGCCAGGCTCAGGGCCACCTCTGCATCCACACTTCCAGGCTCACGAGGATACCCGCAGCCAAGCTAGGGACCTGCCTTGGGAGCCCCAAGGTCCTGAGGGATCAGGCCTTTACTGTGGTCAGGAGGGACCGTCGTTCACTAACGGATGCTTTCACCCGCATGGCAGGAGTGGTGGTAACTCGGGGAAACGTCTACAGGAAACCAAACCCACTGCTCGGTCCCTAAGGGAACACACCGGGCACATTACCCATCTCCCTGTGCAGGAAAGTTTTATGCAAGGAGGGCTCTCTCCTGCTCTCTAAATTGTTAAGGCCAGTCTGTCACTCAGTAAACTGGTCATCTACACTGGTCTTGCACAAGTGAAAGCAGTCCTTTTGAAGTGGGCCACTTGGGAGCCTTTCAGTCAACAACTGATTGGGGGCAAATGGCACGGCTGCATTATGAGTGGCAAGGGCCCTCCAGGCCCTGGGCTGGGCACAGCATCTTGCAGAGCTCTGTTCCGCTGCAGCAGTCTGAGGTTCCTGGGGCTGGGGGCCGCGTGCCCACTCCTCACCTGTACTTGTGCCGGTCACACAGGTTTTCCAGACACTGGCAGAACAGCGATGCCTCCACACCCTCCAGCATGCCGGCCTCGCCCAAGGCAGGTCGCTGGCGGTGCTGCCCGCTGGACGTGGGCACGATCACTGTATTGGGATTCTTGCCCGACAGCAGGTCCTGATAGATGGTGGCCACACTGTCCAGAAATTCTGGAACCACGGGGGTGGGGGACAGCTCAGGCAGGGAGGACACGTTCTGTCCCTTCTCTGTGTCCTCCCCTCTCTGCCAGCTCCGTCCCACAGCAGCCTCAGGGCTCAGGGCACGGTGTGCTGAGAGCAGAAGTCCTCAAGCTTGTTTGACAGCACATTGATGAGAGATGACACTAACCTGTGTTTTAGCTCAAATGTCCCATCCTCTGCTTAGTGCTTCCTAGACCAGGTGAGACCCACCACTGCACTTTCATAGCACTTAGCCAGGGGGGAGTTTTCTGTGTCATCATGTGTCTAATCTGTCTCCTTGCTGGAATGCACAAAGGCAGGGTCACGCCTTGTGGGCCTCTCCTGGCCTAGCACTGTGCTTGGCACCTATTACGGCCATAAATATTTTCTGGAGGAGTGAACTTGTGTGTGCTCCCGCTGGTAAGCCCCATCGTGTGCGGGCACCTGCCTCTCTACCTCAAGAAAGTGTGTTAGAATAGCAGCAAGGAACAGAGAAAGCCACAAGCTGCTGATGAACCAGGCATCTGAAATGGTTTTCACATTCTGTAGTTGAGCCATTGTTAGAACTGCTGACTTATGGCCCAGCTCATCTCTAACACACACTGCTGTGCAGTGTCAGTGATGCCCCCGGCCCAGTGTGCTGGCTGTCCCATCCCTCTGGGAGCACTCCAAGAAGAGGGCTGGGAAGGCAGTGAGGGGAAGATGTTCTCCCAGACATGGCTGCTCCTTCTCTAGGGCCCAAGAGCTTTGGAGAAATGGGAAATGACGGGCGCTGCTGGGAGCAGGTGTCGACACCCCAGGCTCCAGCCCCTGACTGCACAGCCCTTGGGCTGCCATCAAGTAAACAGAATGTGGGGTCCAAGTGGGGCCAGGGCTGACTGGGGCCACCAGTTGGCAGGAAGGCCACCCCAGCCTTCTGTTTACTGAAAGAGCCCATTTCAAACAAGTTTGTTCATGAACACAGTCAGCAGTTTGTAAACCAGCATTCTATTTGATGTATCTGTGTGTGAGCTGGTGTATACTAATATTTGTCTATATTTATTCCGATCCCAGAGAAGACCTAAGGGTGCAGGTGGTGTGAATTGGGGAGCAGGGTGGGAGTGTGACGAAGGACTGGTGTGTACTTTTTTAAAGCTGTGGGGTGGAGGAGAATGTGCACCCAAATGCATGATCGACTGCCAAGGGAGAGACCCTTGAAGGCAGTAAAACAGCAGCGAGGCTGAGAACCCCGGCTTTGGAGTCAGCCTTCAGGTCTGGTCTCTACCGCTCACGAGCCGCATGACTTTGGCTACCTACTTCTGTAAGCTTATCTCTGAAAGGACGGTCTCTCAAGGTTGTTGTCAAGATTAAAGTCAGCACTGCGCCTGGGACGTAGTTTTCAGTAAGCAGTGAATGCTGTGGATGCAGTGGATGTTGTTAATGTCATTATCACTTAAACTGAATTGTTGTGTTGCTGACTGAAAGCACTGTGGTTTTCAGTGTCTTCGGGAGGCTGAGGAAGTCAGCTCTGCTGACTGAATCTTGCTTGTGACCACCACTGAACGCTAGACATCCTGTTAGCGACCTGCAGTGAAGCACACCCCCGAGGGCAGTGGGGAAGAGAAACGTGTGTGCCAGGCACACAGATGGGGAGGGCAGCAGGGCGGGTCAGGGAGACATGGTCCTATGTGGAGCCACATGGGGCCTGGAGAACTCTCACCTGAGTAGTAAAACTGGATCTGGAAGGCAAAAAGGAAATCTGAGAAAGACATCAAGCAGTCCATGGCGTCGTCCATGAGCACAATCCTGAAGGGGAAAGAGAGAATCTGAGAGAATGCGGTGGTGGGGGGGCGGTTTAAGGAGGGGAGGGAGAGAGGGGGAGGAAGGAAAAAGTGACGGGGGAGAGAGGGCAAGCTGTTCCTGCCCCCACCCGCACCCACCCCCGTCCCCAGTCTCCGCGGGGCAGTAGGACATTTAGGAGAAGGCTTCCAAAAGCATGCTCCTCCCACTCACCTCACTGCGCCATCAATTGGACTCTACCACCTAACTGAACCGACCACACTGTACCCAGAGCAGGCACCCGGTTCAGTCTCTGCGGCACCAGCTAGCAAATCGCGCATGGTGGGGGTGGGGGGAGGCGGCGGCGAGGAGAGGGTGCAGTTGTAATGCAGCCAAGGTTTCTTTTCATATACTTAAGCAGTAAATCCTTTCATTCTGCCGTGAGGACCATTTAGTTCAGAATAAATACAGCTGATCAGAAAAGGCAAAAAGAACAGCCAAGGGGTTTAAAGGGTCTTGGCAAGTGGTACTGAGATTTAGTAAGCTACCAAAGGGCCAGAACAGCGACAGACACCTCCACACTGGGACACAGATGGCAGACAAGGGGAGAGAGCAAAGAGTTACTGGGGAATCTGTGCTTGTGAGGGTCAAAACCACACTCATCTTGTGCTGCCACAGCGGCCCTGCCCCTCCTCGCTGTCCACCTTAACAGGCTGCCCACCCATGGTTTCCCTGTCTCTAGTCCCTCCCACTGAGGACCCGCCTTACAGGAAGAAAGCCATCTGACTTGGAAAGGGATCAGACCAAGGCCAAGCTCATCCTCTGCTCAGGTCCAGAAAGGAGCCCTTGTTGGGCTCCACTACATGCCGGGCAGGTACCAATCGCTGGCTGGGGTGGAGTTGGCCCCCAGCCTCTTTCTGATCAGGCCCTTTTGGCTTTATCTTTACTGTTTTTTTAAAATTGTTTTCGGCCGGATGCAGTGGCTCACGCCTGTAATCCCAGCACTTTTGGAGGCTGAAGCAGGCAGATCATGAGGTCAGAAGTTGAGCACATCCTGGATAACACGGTGAAACCCCACCTCTTCTACAAATACAAAAATTAGCCGGTGTGGTGGTGTGTGCCTGTAATCCCAGCTATTCAGAAGGCTAAGGCAGGAGAATCACTTGAACTCGGGAGGCGGAGGCTACAGTGAGCCGAGATCACGCCACTGCACTCCAGCCTGGGCAACAGAACGAGACCCTGTCAAAAAAAAAGGTTTTTTTTTTTTGGCTCTCTTTCTGGCATTTTTCTAAATCTCTCTCTACTTCGCTGAGTCAGAGGTTCCCCAGACTGGCAACTGGATCAGCTCCAGAGAAAGCCAGGATTGCTCACTGCTGGGGAGGGGGCTTCAAAGAGACTGCGATACTGTGGTGCCACTCCTCTTGCCTGTGAGCTGGCTGAAGACAGTGGTTCCTGCCTAGTCTTTATTGTGGTACCATTTCCTGAGCCTACCTCATGGCAGGCTGTTAAGGTCTTACATTTTATCTTGCAACAATCCTACAGGTGGGTCGTCTTATTTCCATTCTACACGTGAAGAGTCTGAGGCTCAGAGAGATCAATCTGCCGAAGTCGCACACACAGCTGGGGTGCCTGCTCGACGCTAAAGGCCAGGCACCTTCCAGGAGGCCACAGTGCCTCTTTGAAAATGAAGATACACAGCAGAAACACTAACATTTTATCTCCTAGTTTCTGTGGCTAATTTATTTTCTTTCTTGTTACCTACATGTTAGGTACCTCTTGGGGAGAAAGACTGCTGCCTCCACCAACCAGAATTCAACACTAAAATTCCAGCTGGAAAAAATTCAAGGCTGAGGGTGGGAAGAAGCAATGCCACTGAGGGCCACCAGAGAGTGCCCTGGTTCCTCCATCAGTAGTTCTCGGACTAAGAGAAGTGCCAAAGGCCAAGTGCTTACCCCACCTCTCATAACTCAAGGAAAACCCAGGCGTGCAAAACAGCTGCCTTCCCATCTGGAGGGCAGAATCTGTTTTGACATCTGGATTGGGGGAGCAGGGATATGGCAGAGAGTGGGCAGCTAGAGAGGACCAGGGTTAGCAAAGACACCCAAATTGCAGAGGAAGAGCAAGCTCTCCCAGGAGTGCCCAGGGAGCGAGGGCCACCAGCTTCTCAAAGCTTTTCCTTCACAGGCTCAGCAGGGCAGGCAAAAGCTCTGCAGATGAGAAGCCACTGACTTTCCCTTCTTGCCCTGCTCTCAGGACAGCTGAGAACCCCAATAGTCTAAAGTTAATTATGACAGAACAGCACGGGACTGCGAATATCCCCAGCAGGAAACCACCAGGGAAGCCCAAGCCTTTCCCCATGTTCCCTGGCTTCTCAGTTTATCATCAGTCAACGCAGCACTCTTGCTCTTAGATAGCAGTAACTTGAGATTTTCATTTATTTATCTCCACTTGTTTACATTGTGATATAATGAAACACCATAAAAGGCACCCTTTAAAAGTGTACAATTCAGGTTTTTTGTTTTTTGAGACAGAGTCTCACCCTGTTGCCCAGGCTGGAGTGCAGTGGTGTGATCTCACTCACTGCAACTTCCACCTCCCGGGTTCAAGTGATTCTCCTGCCTCAGCCTCCTGAGTAGCTGGGACTACAGGTGTGCGCCACCATGCCCAGCTAATTTTTGTATTTTTAGTGAGATGGAGTTTCACCATGTTGGTCAGGCTGGTCTCAAACTCCTGACCTTGTGATCCACCCACCTCGGCCTCCCAAAGTGCTGGGATTACAGGCGTGAGCCACCGCGCCTGGCCACCAGTTTTTTTTAGTTTACTCACAAAGTAGTGCCACCATCATCACTGTCTAATTGCAGAAATTACCTCCCTTTGCAATTCTCACCAACAGGCCTTCCCCGGAGCCAGGACCTGCCTCCCAGCCTCTGTGGAGGCCTTAATGCTGAGTGCCATGAACACCTTCCTCTTTCAGCCACAGATGGGACTAGAAGCTGCAAACAGGGCACACCCTTCCAGCCTCAGAACAGATCTGCAGCTCTCTGCTAGGGGCTGTCTTGACCTTGAACATCAGCAGTCCCTTTGGATACAGGCCATTGTGGGAGAGGGAGTGTACACCGTGGGAGCGTAGGGGTGTCTGTCAGAGCAGGGCAGCCCTGCAGGTGCCTTGTAATATGGGTAGCAATAGAGGCAGGTACCTTTTTTTTTTTTTTTTTTTTTGAGTTTTGCTCTGTTGCCTAGGCTGGAGTGCAGTGGTACGATCTCAACTCACTGCAACCTCTGCCTCCCAGGTTCAAGTGATTCTCCTGCCTCAGCCTCCCGAGCAGGTGGGATTACAGGTGCCTGCCAGCACATCTGGCTAGTTTATGTATTTTTAGTGGAGACGGGTTTCACCGTGTTGGTCAGGCTGGTCTCGAACTCCTGACGTCAAGTGATCCACCATAGAGGCAGGTACCTTTCTTGAGTACTCCACCTCATGGCAGGGTATTAAGTCATTTGACTACATTAATTAAATTTTATCCAACAACAGTCCTATAGGTGGGTCTTAATGTTATTTCTATTCTACAGGTGAAGAGTCTGAGGCTCAGAGACTGGGGGGCTGAAACATATGCCTGGCAGAAGGGAGCAGGGGCAAGTGAAGGGCAGCAGACAGAGGTGGCTTTCTGAGGGACATGTGGCTGGATTCCAGCAGCATGTGTATGAAGGACTAAGGGGGCTGGGTGTGGTGGCTTACAGCTGTAATCCCAGCACTTTGGGAGGCCGAGGCGGGTGGCTCACAAGGTCAGGAGTTAGAGACCAGCCTGACCAACACGGTGAAACCCTATCTCAATCTTTGTAAAAATACAAAAATTAGCTGGGCGTGGTGGCAGGTGCCTGTAATCCCAGCTGCTTGGGAGGCTGAGGCAGGAGAATAGCTTGAATCGGGAGGTGGAGGTTTCGGTGAGTCGAGATCACGCCATTGCACTCCAGCCTGGGCAACAAGAGTGAAACTCCATCTTAAAGAAAAAAAATAAAGGACTGAGGGATTTTTCTTGACTGAAAGCAGTGAGACTGGCTGCCTTTTAAAAAGCCAACTGGATCTGAGTTTGTGTTAGCAGCAGCACCAGCTATGACTCTCCTCAACCAGAAACCTGGGCCATGCTAGACATCCTGGAAACTCCCCACTCCCCTGCCCCAAGCCAATCAACCAGTCACCAAGTCCTGTCAATGCTATTGCTGAAATTTCTCTTGAGGCCGGGCGCCGTGGCTCACGCCTGTAATCCCAGCACTTTGGGAGGCTGAGGCGGGTGGATCACGAGGTCAAGAGATCGAGACCATCCTGGTCAATATGGTGAAACCCTATCTCTACTAAAAATACAAAAAATTAGCTGGGCATGGTGGTGCGTGCCTGTGATCCCAGCTACTCAGGAGGCTGAGGCAGGAGAATTGCCTGAACCCAGGAGGCGGAGGTTGCGGTGAGCCGAGATCATGCCATTGCACTCCCCTGGGTAACAAGCGTGAAACTCCGTCTCAAAAAAAAAAAAATTTTTTCTCTTGAATCCATCTGCTTCTTTCCATGTCCACAGCTGCCAGCCTACCCGCAGCCTCCCGCCCTCTTTCTTGATGATGGCATGACTTCCTACCCAGTTTCCCTGCAGCTACTCTTGCCTTCTTCTAATTCAGTATCCATGCTGTGGTCAGAATGACTTTCCTAAAATGTGAATGTGACCTTTTTTTTTTTTGAAATGGAGTTTCGCTGTTGTTACCCAGGCTGGAGTGCAATGGCACGATCTCGGCTCACCGCAACCTCCGCCTCCTGGGTTCAAGCAATTCTGCCTCAGCCTTCCGAGTAGCTGGGACTACAGGCGCCCACCACCATGCCCAGCTAATTTTTGTATTTTTAGTAGAGACGGCGTTTCACCTTGTTGACCAGGATGGTCTCTATCTCTTGACCTCGTGAACCACCCGCCTCAGCCTCCCAATGTGCAGGGATTATGGGCGTGGGCCACCACGCCCTGCCAAATGTGACCGTTTTACTATTGTGTTGA